TTCTTATTCCTATACGTTCATCTAATCTAATTCAGGTCCATTCTTATTCCTATACGTTCATCTAATCTAATTCAGGTCCATTCTTATTCCTATACATTCATCCAATCTAATTCAGGTCCATTCTTATTCCTATACATTCATCCAATCTAATTCAGATCCATTCTTATTCCTATACATTCATCAAACCTAATTTGGTACATTCTTATTCGATCCTATCTAATACCCAATCTAGATCCGAATATTCTTCCGAGTATCTGAATACAAACATGTCTCAGGTAATTCTCGTAGTTATGCCAGGTGTTGGAAATTAAATGAAGAGTTAAGGGATAAAATGCTGAGAAGATATCGAGCAATGATTCGATAAAACACAATAAAAACGATTAAATAGCAATTCCAAAAGCCCCAACACCCACAACAACTACGGTCAAAGGTTGCGAATATAAAAAATATTGCGAATATATTTATGCAAATGAGTAATTCCAAAACGATGCTACGGCCACATCTTGTGTTTCGCAAAGTAACATTTTGAGTTGTATGGCGAAGTACTGATATAGTAAAAAGTGTTACACAGTAAAATACACTTAAGAGGGAGCTTAGACGATTTGAAAGTAATAGTACGCTTTAGCATTCTCGTTTTATGAAAATATTTGTAGCCGAAAAAAAGTGTTTGACAAAGAAGTCCAACTGCAAAATCACTGAAGGGGAGACCGTAAAGGGGAGAACCGTAAATCGATACGACGGTGTTCGTAAAGAAGACGTCATCAGAATGGCCACGATAATAAGAGCATTAGCAGCAGCTGTTGGTACAGCTAAGACACGTATAGCTTGTCATATCAATGACGAAAAGACTGTCCTCATCACTACTTCTTTTTGATACCCCTCATGGCATTCTTGATAGCTTCAAAGCCGAAGGACATAGGTTGATCCATTTATCCATACTTTATCTTTGAAGACGAAGCTAAGACGACCAGTTTAAATTTAAACTAAAGTCAGTTCTATTGAGTTATGATTTGTTAAATAAAATAAAATAAAATAAAATAAAATAAAATAAAATAAAATAAAA